TTTTATTTTTGCGCTGTGCTAGCTGAGTATAAAAAAGAGAAGAGAGAATAGAGAGAAATATGTATGTGGTTTGTTGATGCTCTCTAAACACAAACGCGTGAAAGGCAAACGGTCTAGCAATGCGTGGTATTGTTGATCAACTTAATACTTTATTTAAACATAAGGGTTGCTCACAGTTGGAGTGTGTTATCTTGTTAAAGTTGCCACCTTTTAACTTTAGAAGTAAACTGTGAATACCCTAGATATGTAAATAAGTCGACAGCCAAGTTCACAAATTAAATAAGAATTAATTCAAGGTGAATTTTTTATCTATTGAGGAGTGGGACTTGGCATGTAATATATCGTTATTATGGTATGGAAAGGGCTCAACTCACATCGTCGCTGAAATACAAAAAGACGTAACTAAAAATCCAAAATTAACTATTTGATTGATTATGATGCATTTCCTCGAATCATAAGTCCCCACATCGTTTAAGGCAATACAAAAATTTATTAGTTGTGGTTTCTTGCATTTCAGCGACTATGCGAAATAGTATTAACGATACATATGTTGAAAACTTGCGTTCATTCGCCGCAAAAAAATATATCACAACACATTGAGCGCATGGAATGGAGCAACAAAACGGATTTGATGGCTTATGGTACCGACAGCGGTGCGTAATTAATTGAGACTGACTGCAACTAGGAAAAGCCGAGCTCAGCTAACTAATAAAAAAAAAACTAGTTTCAAGGTATTCATTACAGGAGAACCTTTCCAAGAAGTCACCCGGGAACTAAGCAAATCTGACACCTTTATCGTCCGTGATTCCATAAATAATAAATTCTAAAAAATTAACGGTAATTCGTAGCCACTTCAAATTTGCACATTATCAGACTAAAATTTAAGGGGCTAAAAAACTGTGTACTCAAAAAAATTCTTACACTTCCGAGAAAAAAGTTGGAAATTTATGTGAAAATTTGTTGCACTTTTTTGTAGCTTTCTACAAATTATTAACCTTGGGTTTGTATCAGATTTGTCTGAGAATGAACAATATTTTAATTGAAAATTCTTAAAAGTTAATAAATAAACATAAGTGACACACAATATCACTTTGAAATGGCGTGCTATAGATATGACCGATACTGTATGTACATACATACATATATTTTTCTCTGCACGATTCATTTCGTTTGTTGTTTCGTCTGTAACTACTAAACAACTGTAGTGTACTATCGCCAAAGTGAACTCAGCCGTTTTGTTTTCGTATTGTACCGAACTGTTGAAGTAATAAACGAAACGAAGTAGTAACGTAGAATATAGTTTATTTTCGTACACTGACCTAAATCCCTTAATGTACTCACCAAAATTATTTCTTAAAAATATTTGACATCCGCATTCGCATTCGCATCCGCGAATGTTAGCTTTTAAACATCCGCATCCGCATTCGCATCCGCAGATGTCTAGAATTTTACATTCGCAACATCCCTGGTCCATAGTGCTTCTGGTGTCAGATTCGTGGGGTTAGAGGCGCATGCGAAGAGGTGTTGGGCGTTGTGTGGACCTTGTGGAGCAGGGCGTTATTGGGGTGATTTCCACGGTGATATCGCACGAGTAACTGCTTCGATAGCAACGTGCTGTGGTCTTTCGCCGCCAGCATCTGGCTTTCTTGGTGAAGGTGATGCTCGGACGACATGAGATGGCAGCCTGTAGCCGTGCGTAGAACTGCATTCTGGCATGTTTGTAGGATTGTCCACTGTATATCGCTGGTACCTGCCGTCCACACTGGCGATCTTTTCGCATGTGGCTGAACGTGAACATGGCATGGAACAAACAAAAGTTGCCGTTCCTGTTCGCAGCATATAACACAGAGAATATTGTTTTGAGTTTTATCTTCAGTTAAAATTTCTGCATTATCATCACTGGTTTCACCATATCCGAAATGTGGATTTCGTTTACGAAGACGAAGCGAACATGTGGTACGAAGTAGTGATATAAAAAATATGTAAAATTGTACCTACTCTCAGACTTCTAAATTTGAACGTATACTCGGTACAAGCAGGTGGGAAGAACGGCGCAATAAACAGGTGAAGTAATGAAACAGATTTCTCGCTTTATTTTCTGACATTCGGCTGTCTTATAGTCACATTTTATAGGCATGTTTTCAAATAAGGCAGTGTCAAAATATTTCTTCTCACTCTGATATTACTTCACCTGGTATAATTCCACCATGGGTGGGGGGCATGCAATAACACCATACGCTATAATTCCCATTACTTGGACATTAAAAAGCAGTTTCAGAAGTGAACTAGTGTCATTTTATTATTATATTTTTTTCTAAACGGTTATAATGACAGCAGTGCATAATTGCGAAAGGAGGGGAGGGGGCGGGGGGGCGCGGCGCGGGGTGGCGCGGGGCGGCGCACGAACGCGGACCGCCGCGACGCTGGACACTTTCAAAATTGTATACTTACAAATCCGTCCCTTAAACCTTTTTCATGTACTACTTTTTGTCAAATGTGACTGGGTGACTACCTACATATGTGCACTATTTTGCTTTATTACTCAATTGTTAAGTTTAAAAGTTGGTCTTATTGCTCAACGAGAAATGAAATAAATCAAATTTGTGTTATTTCACATTAAATTGGGAAATATTATTATTTCGTTTGTTTGAACCCGCGATGCTGTTAAACGAAAAATGTTCATTCATAATGAATAAAACTCCATCCGAAATAAGCATTCTACCGGAGCTATACTAAACCAGCTAAGGGAATAGGCAGCTAAACGGAATGTACCATAGTAGACTCATTTTAATTTATAAATTGTATCGTTACCTTAATCCACCTAATATTAATAATGAAACAAGATATGTAGTACAGAAAATTATGACAAATATATAGTAGTTGAAGGACAATAAAGCTAAAAGTATGGTTCATAAAGATGCCTTAATTTAAACAAAAAGAAAATTGTTTGACTCCTTTAATTTATTAATGCTGAACTGAATATTTGTACTACTGTTTTATATTTTTATTTGTTTACCCCGTCGGGTGCCCTGCTGGTACATACATATTATGTACATATTAAAATTTATGTACGTAGCATTAATACCATACGACTTTTTCGCAATTAACAGGCAATGCGAGCGTTTTTATTGTTTTCCCTAATGTGCAGCGCCATACAAGAAGAAAAGCTGTACTGTATTCGTATATTTATGTAACTATTTTATCCATTTGAAATTTTAGAGCTTACCTTTTGGAATGCTGGATAAAGGTGGCAACAAACAAAATGTGTGATAACTGTCATCACACCCGTCACAGAGAAGCATTGATTCCTCTACGTCGCCGCGATTACATATGTGGCAAATATATTTCAATAAGGGATCAACTATTTGAGGATCAGGTGCTTTTTTTTGTGCCGTTGCATTTGCTAAAGCTGTTCCAGAAGCTTGACTTCGTACCTCAATTACTGAGGTAGAAGTGCCGGCAGCATTAAAGCAATGTAATAGATCCCGATTAAAATCCTCTTTCGTTTCGACCTTCATATTGTTACGCGATGCACTTCCCAAACCGCAATTGGCACTTGAATTAGCAAAGCGCTTAGAGCGTCGGGCATTATTTTCATTTGGGGGTGCGATCTGTTGACGTGTTGGTATTTCGTGAGCTTTATAATCAGTGCCGTCTTCGAGCTTTACCGCATCGACGCTAGTAGCTGCTCCAATTCCACCTCCTAGTACTTTACCTGATGTATAAACCTCAAATGGATGAAGTATGCGTTCATAATGAGCCTTCAATGTTGCACCGACGCTTTTGCTCGATGGATACGACATACGATTTGCTACTTTTGCCCATTTGCGTTCTTTAGTTGTCTGTTCCATCCCACCCTCTTCTTGTACAATGCGATGTAAGGTATACAAGTCTAAAGCTTTGCGTTCAACCATTGGTATTTTAAGTGAAGAACCCTGAAGTTCCCAAAATTTGGCAATTTGATCTAAAAAATTAAGCTTCACTCGAGTCTTTGCTTCCAATTCGTTAAGGCGTTGCACTCGAGGAGTGAACTTCAACTTGTCTACGTCCACGGCGAATGGTGGAGACCATGATTCTGGTGGCAAGATTTTTGCAATACCACATTTCTCAGCAATGGGTCGAATCTTATTGATATAAGCCAGCGGGTTCTTGAACTCTTCTTGCGTGGGACGAAAAACGGGACACTCAACCGGAGTATCGAAGTGGAATTCTTCTGTCTTATTCAAGTTAAAAGTACTGGAGCTGTGAGGCTGCAGATGTGCTGCCGGTTTCCCACGACCGCGATCATTCATTGGATGAGGACAACTATTATGGTACTTTTTGGCTGATCCAGTTATGGAATTTGTACCGCTGCAGTGGTTTGTACTTTGTTTATCTTCACTATAATTAATCCCTGTGGCTGAAGCTCCAGTGCCGGTACTATTGGTTGCACAATCATTTTTATTGAAATCTGAGGAATTAGTGTTGCGATCGGGAGCATTAGAGCAACCGCCGCTTTTTTTTCCTGAATCACCACTCCCCATATTTCCTCCTGTCGACGTTCTAGTACGCAATCGTCTAGCCGTCGGTGAGTTAACACTGACTCCACAAGTTGATGAAGATGCAGCGGAAACACAAGTCCCTTCTGTTGCAATAGTTTTGGTCGACATGACTTTCAATTGATCTGGTGGCTTAGTGCTATATAAGATCATAGTAAGAGAGATAAAAGAGGAATTTATTGTTATATATTATTTCATACTACATATCGCACACCGTTATCAAAAGGAGCACAACTCAAAATTCAACGTTTGTCAGAAAATGCGAAAAACTATTTCTTATATAATACTGTACGGCAAAATCAACTTTTTTTTCTCGGCATTGGACCAAACCAATTTTTTATAAGAGCTTGAGTCATAGGTAAAAAAGTAATTTCTCCGTTTTTCGAAGTTAGCCTCCGAAATCGAGATATGGGCCTTCGATATAGGACCTTTGGTAAAAAATTATATTTAATTATTGCATATAAATAACTAAAAACCTAAAAATATAGACGTAGTCCTCCTTTTGCTCTTATTTAAATGGTATATAACTTTTTTTGTGCAAACTTATAATACAGGTGCTATAAGGGGTCAAAGTTCAAAAATTTTTAAAAAATGTATATCGTTGTACAAGAAAGGGGGTTTTTCTACGTCCATAAACCTAGCTGACCCAAGTCGCCAAAAATCAATAAAAATTAGCTAGGAATTAGGTGTCTTTTAGGTGTTCTTCAACGCCTCTAAAACTAATTTAGTAGCTCCATTGGTTTCCGAGAAATTCGCAAAAATGTGTGGGTCAGCTAGGTTTACGTAAACCTAGCTGACCCATCGTTAAATATAGGTTTTAAATTTTCCAGATATATGCTGGAATTAGGTGTCTTTTAGGTGTTCTTCAACGCCTCTAAAACTAATTTAGTAGCTCCATTGGTTTCCGAGAAATTCGCAAAAATGTGTGGGTCAGCTAGGTTTACGTAAACCTAGCTGACCCATCGTTAAATATAGGTTTTAAATTTTCCAGATATATGCTGGAATTAGGTGTCTTTTAGGTGTTCTTCAACGCCTCTAAAACTAATTTAGTAGCTCCATTGGTTTCCGAGAAATTCGCAAAAATGTGTGGGTCAGCTAGGTTTACGTAAACCTAGCTGACCCATCGTTAAATATAGGTTTTAAATTTTCCAGATATATGCTGGAATTAGGTGTCTTTTAGGTGTTCTTCAACGCCTCTAAAACTAATTTAGTAGCTCCATTGGTTTCCGAGAAATTCGCAAAAATGTGTGGGTCAGCTAGGTTTACGTAAACCTAGCTGACCCATCGTTAAATATAGGTTTTAAATTTTCCAGATATATGCTGGAATTAGGTGTCTTTTAGGTGTTCTTCAACGCCTCTAAAACTAATTTAGTAGCTCCATTGGTTTCCGAGAAATTCGCAAAAATGTGTGGGTCAGCTAGGTTTACGTAAACCTAGCTGACCCATCGTTAAATATAGGTTTTAAATTTTCCAGATATATGCTGGAATTAGGTGTCTTTTAGGTGTTCTTCAACGCCTCTAAAACTAATTTAGTAGCTCCATTGGTTTCCGAGAAATTCGCAAAAATGTGTGGGTCAGCTAGGTTTACGTAAACCTAGCTGACCCATCGTTAAATATAGGTTTTAAATTTTCCAGATATATGCTGGAATTAGGTGTCTTTTAGGTGTTCTTCAACGCCTCTAAAACTAATTTAGTAGCTCCATTGGTTTCCGAGAAATTCGCAAAAATGTGTGGGTCAGCTAGGTTTACGTAAACCTAGCTGACCCATCGTTAAATATAGGTTTTAAATTTTCCAGATATATGCTGGAATTAGGTGTCTTTTAGGTGTTCTTCAACGCCTCTAAAACTAATTTAGTAGCTCCATTGGTTTCCGAGAAATTCGCAAAAATGTGTGGGTCAGCTAGGTTTACGTAAACCTAGCTGACCCATCGTTAAATATAGGTTTTAAATTTTCCAGATATATGCTGGAATTAGGTGTCTTTTAGGTGTTCTTCAACGCCTCTAAAACTAATTTAGTAGCTCCATTGGTTTCCGAGAAATTCGCAAAAATGTGTGGGTCAGCTAGGTTTACGTAAACCTAGCTGACCCATCGTTAAATATAGGTTTTAAATTTTCCAGATATATGCTGGAATTAGGTGTCTTTTAGGTGTTCTTCAACGCCTCTAAAACTAATTTAGTAGCTCCATTGGTTTCCGAGAAATTCGCAAAAATGTGTGGGTCAGCTAGGTTTACGTAAACCTAGCTGACCCATCGTTAAATATAGGTTTTAAATTTTCCAGATATATGCTGGAATTAGGTGTCTTTTAGGTGTTCTTCAACGCCTCTAAAACTAATTTAGTAGCTCCATTGGTTTCCGAGAAATTCGCAAAAATGTGTGGGTCAGCTAGGTTTACGTAAACCTAGCTGACCCATCGTTAAATATAGGTTTTAAATTTTCCAGATATATGCTGGAATTAGGTGTCTTTTAGGTGTTCTTCAACGCCTCTAAAACTAATTTAGTAGCTCCATTGGTTTCCGAGAAATTCGCAAAAATGTGTGGGTCAGCTAGGTTTACGTAAACCTAGCTGACCCATCGTTAAATATAGGTTTTAAATTTTCCAGATATATGCTGGAATTAGGTGTCTTTTAGGTGTTCTTCAACGCCTCTAAAACTAATTTAGTAGCTCCATTGGTTTCCGAGAAATTCGCAAAAATGTGTGGGTCAGCTAGGTTTACGTAAACCTAGCTGACCCATCGTTAAATATAGGTTTTAAATTTTCCAGATATATGCTGGAATTAGGTGTCTTTTAGGTGTTCTTCAACGCCTCTAAAACTAATTTAGTAGCTCCATTGGTTTCCGAGAAATTCGCAAAAATGTGTGGGTCAGCTAGGTTTATGGACGTGGTTTTTCTTTCGATATGCATATTTGTATACTTCGTATATAAAAATTTTAGAAAAAACACATTTAAATGCAAAAATATCTTTTTTTATATAAAAAAAATAGTTTAAACAAAAAAGTTACTAACCGATTTTTAAAAAAATTGGGATCGTTGTTAAGACGATTAAATCCCCTTTCTTCTGATATGCACATTTGTATACTTCGTATATAAAAATTTGAGAAAAAACACATTTAAAGGAAAAAATAGTTTTTATAAAAAAATATTTAAAAAAAAAACATTACTAACCAATTTTTAAAAGGCTGGTACCGTTGTAAACGCGATTAAACCCCCTTTCTTTTGATATGCATATTTGTATACCTCGTACATAAAAATTTAAAAAAAAACCTCATTTAAATGAAAAAATACCTTTTTTTATAAAAAAAAAAAAAATATTTTAAACGAAAAAATACTAACCGATTTTTAAAAAATTGGTATCGTTGTAAAGACGATTAAACCCCTTTCTTCTGATATGCATATTTGTATACTTCGTATAAAAAATTGTGAGAAAAAACACGTTTTAAGGAAAAAATACCTTTTTTGTATAAAAAAAAATATTTTACACAAAAAAATTACTAACCGACTTTAAAAAAATTGGTATCGTTGTAAAGGCGATTAAACCCCCTTTCTTCTGATATGCATATTTGTATTGTATTTGTATACCAATTTTTTCTTATAAAAAATATTTTAAACAAAAAAATTACTAATTAGTAATTTTTTTGTTTAAAATATTTTTTTTTTTTTATAAAAAAAAAAAAATATTTTAAACAAAAAAATTACTAATTAGTAATTTTTTTGTTTAAAATATTTTTTTTTTTTTATAAAAAAAAAAAAATATTTTAAACAAAAAAATTACTAATTAGTAATACAATTGAATACTTTACTTAAATAAAACAGAAAATTATCTTTAATTTTTATATATAACTTTTATTTAAAAAATCATGGTGTTTTTATTTTTTATATGCCTTAGACTTCTGTTGCTTTATTTTTAACAGGGCTGTGGGTGAACAAGAGCGAATTAACGCTTAAGACACTACAAATTATTTGTTTTATTTAAATACGGTATTCAATTGTATTACTAATTAGTAATTTATTTGTAAAATTTTTTTTATTAGAAAAAATTGGTACTTTTTCCTTTTAAGTGTTTTTTCTCCAATTTTTATATACGAAGTATACAAATATGCATATTAGACGAAAGGGAGTTTAATCGCCTTAACAACGATGCCAATTTTTTACAAATCAGTGAGTAATTTTTTTGTTTAAAATATTTCTTGATAAAAAAAGTTATTTTTTTCCTTTTAAGTGTTTTTTTCTCAAATTTTCATTCAAGTGGTATACAAATATGCATATCAGAAGAAAAGGGGTTTACAACGATACCAATTTTTTAAAAATCGGTTAGTAATTTTTTTGTTTAAAATATTTTTTTATACAAAAAAGGGATTTTTTCCTTAAAACGTGTCTTTCTCACATTTTTATATACGAAGTATACAAATATGCATATCACAAGGGGGTTAAATCACCTTTACAACGATATTAATCTTTTAAAAATCAGTTCGGAGGCTAACTTCCAAAAACGGAGAGCTTACATTTTTTACTTATGACTCAGTCTCTTAAAAAAAGTTGGTTTTGTCCAATACCCAGCCGAGTGCTGTACAGTGTAATCAATTGAATTGAAACACGAGAAAACACCTTAAAGTCATTTAATAATTTATTTAAATTTTATTACAATTGCTTCGGTATTTCATAGACATCATCATCAGACAGTCAGAATTTCAACTAAAACAAGAAAATGTAATTACATCACATTTCGAATGGAAGAAGGAAATGCGTTGACCAATATACATGAATACAAAAAACACTAATTTACTTTAAAATCGAGAAGAGTGAATAGAGAAGAGAAATGTGGACCTACGTCACGATTTACCTTATTTTTACTATGTAAATAAATGTGCATACATTCTAAAATGTTTAAGCGGTTGCGATTTAATTCAGAAGCGACTAATTTAAAATTACTTTCATTGATTTTATGCTTTTCCAACAAAATATGATCTGTCAGGCCATGTTTATATGGTTCAATATTTTTTATACTGTTTAAATGTTCTTTTAATCTACATAAACATAATGACAAGAATCACAATATCAATGGCTGTGTGGAAGATCGTCCTATTTCGGCAGCCAGTTCAAAAACGCGTTATCTCAGAAAACTTTTCAAGAACGCCCTACTTCAGAA